ATGTCAATCCTTGCCAACATTTCGCCTTCAAAGTTCCTAGTTGTAGGCAGTTGGAACTGGTTGCTTGATGGTGGCAGAATGACAGCCCTCAGCCCTGAGCATCATCCAACGCATCGCAGTGATAATGGCAATCCAGTAAAGTGAAATGATTCAGTACAAATCGCGTTTCGAACCAGTGCAGCCTACGGAGCACCCCGGAGTTCATTTGGATGCGACGTTCGAAAGTTCAAATGAAGCCAAATGGTACAAGCCAGCGTGTCATATCTCAATGAGGCATAGACTTTGGGCAGTTTATACTTCAGCCGACCAATCCATGGATCGATTGGTATTACCTCCTAGTGAAGCTGAACACACCAAAGCGATCAGCGACTCCGCACGGTGGGCCCTAGATGGTCGTTCATGGGACGGTGCTTGTCATCACAGGAAGTTATACAGCTCTGCGCAGATGAGGAGGCTACAAGAGAAGTAAATCCAAATACTAACGGAGGACGCAGGGGTCAAACAATGGGCTATTTTCTAATGAGACAACGAACGCTGATCTCATATGCTTCTCTGGAAACGCGCACTGCAGAGAAAAACATGATCGATCGGTTAGAGAACCTGATTAATGAGATCAGTGTCTGGAGTTCGCCTCCAATACGCACCTTTTTGCTCTTTCGTGATTCATATATTTTGATTCTATAGGATCTCGCCTCATTGTTGTCGTTCCATCACTGCTCATCCCTAGTTCGCTTCTGGATGAGTTTGATACCATTCCGACTGAAATTATCGACTTTCAGTTTTTCTCTCGCTTGCTGTAATATCGCGAGGGGCTGCCACCGTGAAAGACTGGGTGACAAATACTCACCCGGAACCATTTTTCTCAAGAAAACCAAGCTCTTTCGGATACAAGCGATATGGACGTCTGTAAGGTGCAAAGGTGGCAGGAATCTGGCCACTTTAGCCACTTTTTGATGCTTCCTTGGTTAGTGGTTTTGATAGATTCGTTCTGGAGCTTGACCACTATGTAGGGCCCATTCTTCGGTGATGACTCTTCCGTCGGGTGAACAACCACCCCGTGACCACCGAGCCGAGGCGCAGATGGCTTTAGAGGTAAATTCAACCTTAAAAATTTGCACCGCTTAGATATAAGAATCTCGGCGGCTTTGGTAGAATCTGACCGCTCATTTGGATGCGACACTCTGACTTGCGGGTCCAGCAATCCCAATGGGGAACCTATTTTTGCTTCCCCATTGGAATCGCTGAAAACCGCAATCCAGGGTGTTGCATTCAAAAGCTTCAGGATGCTCCGTTGGTGGCACAGATTAAGTAGGGATCATATTGGATATTGCATCGCCATGATCAGTGCAATACCTACGACAGTGCTCAAGAGCAGACGGTCTCCAAAAGCGATCACTTCTAACCGTGCACAACCGGGATATTCGAAGAGGAAACGTTCAGGACGAATGCTATCCGGTATACCAAGAGCAAACAGCCATCAGTGATGGATTGCTAATTCTCGGATGAACTTCCTGGTAAGCCGATCGAGTGCGACCCGTTCTCCGTCAAGCGCGCAGAACTCCCACTTAACCATCAGGCCGCCTCAACACAGCTGTCGTGCCTTTACGGATTGCAGACCCGGGTGGTCACGCCGAGATACACCCTGAACTGCTCCGTAGGTCGCACTGGTTCTGGTTCCGAACCTTGAACAAATTCCTGTAGACATCATCACAGCACGCTGCCATTGACAACTGCGGGTGCAGCTCTCTTATCTCACCATAGTGACCACATACGACCCAGCTGATGCGACATCCAGAAGCATAACATCCACTGGAGCGGGAACATCAGAATGCTTGTTTACTGTAACAGTATGGACTTTCCATGGTCCAGGGGATCCAGCGCGACCACTATTGAAATTCCCAGGATAAACCAGGGGTTTGAGTATAATTAGAACGATATGAAGGGATTTCAACGGATCTTTGTAAGACAGGGGGTGGTACTGGGAGCCGTACCATCTTCGTGACGTCATACCTGATCCGTCGTCAGGTGGCAAGTAGAGATGCTGTATGGGTACTCTTGAAGACTAGTTCTCACCCCGGAG